ACAACCCACTAACATTACATACAATTTTCTTCCCATTACGTCTAATTGACTGTCTGATGTCAGTGCCAACCCATCTCTTTTCCCTATGTATCGATCCTCGAATTATGTGCTGATTACATGGTGCGCCCATATTGTGCATGATTTATTCCTACCTCTCGTTCCCTTCATTTCGCATCGTACCGTAATTATGGATCTAATGAAAATCATGCTTTTCATTCGTACTAAAGTATCCTCCCCAATTTACCTTCGATGAATGAGTGTTGATTCCCATTATTCTAGCGAAGTAAATAAAAATAAAGGGTCTTCAACACCCTTAATACCAGAATTTCATGTTTTAAATAGAAAATAAATTGGAGAAATAAATAAAGGAAGGGTGGAATCGTTTCAAATATATCATATTAATCAAATTTTTATGAATATATAACATTGCTCGAAAATATTTGCTGGATTTAAACTTGAAATGTATAATGTTCAAATGTAACCAAAATGTAGCTTTATATATTTATTAAATTACAAGTTTAGTAATAATAAACGCGAATGTAATATAACCAAACAATTGTAAGCGACAAGTGGAAATCTTGAATTCCAGTTTGAATAATTTCTGCTGCGCACAGCCATTGTTACTATGACAATCAATTGCTGTATTATTTTGTCACAAAAGAAAGAGAGTACAATTCACGGAGGCATTCGAGCACTGTTTACATTGTTACAGGCATTCCTCGCGGATCTTAGAATGTAAACATACTTTGTTCAATTTCTTCCAAGCCGGTCCGAAGTGGCTGTACACAGAAGCATTTCATTACTCACAATGACAACATCACGGTAGTAGAGGTTCCCCGATACGTTTATACGGAACAAAAGTCGCTCTAAATCTAAAATACATTTCAAGTCGAAATAATTATAATTAATAAGAGAAGAGGTTCAATTAGCGTCATGTGTCGAGTCGTTCTAATTTGAACGAATCGAATTTCACGTTCACGGATTTTCAAGACCATTTCCGTTTCCGTGCTTGTATCGCGTGTTCATCGACGATTTATCGTGTCTGACTTTCAACCATCTGGCCCGAGCAACGTTCTAATTCGCTATCTGCAGAAATAATTAAGTCGCGGTTGTGTCGGTGGATAAGCAGAGTATCGGCGACGCGATAGTCCCGAGACGATGAAGTTGACAGTTCTTCGGTCGAGGAACTTTCCTCGAAGTCTTTTGTATTCACAGGACATCGACGCCGGCTAAAACAAAAGCACGAGGAAACAAGGTGGTTGAAGAGAAAGAGTCGGGGAAGGAGATATTCACTTGAAATAATGGATGGTGTTTAGCTTTTAATCCACGAACGCTTGTGCTCAGAAAACGATCTTGAAATGATAATCGATCTCAAGGCGACTCTCATTTACGATTTTCCTTTGTTCGTCACCGGCTAATTACGTTCAGAAACGTAGAACTTTGTACCAGGATTCTTCTCTTTCTTTATTCTTGAGAACTGGTTAAGAAGATCCCTGTTACTGGATAAGATTTTATTAGAATAAGAAGTTCCTTTCAATAGAACAATTGGGATTGCATGTGCTTTCAAATTGAAAATAAATAATATCCGTATTTGAAACGAAACGCAATCAAAAAATGACAAAAATAATTAATTAAATAATTAATTATACAGGGTGTCCCGGCTTAAGTGTTATAATCCCGTAATTCTTTGGGTCTGGCGTTCCTAGCAGACCTCCGCTGTGGCACTTACTGCAACAATAGGGCCGCTTTTACGACTTGCCACTCAAACGGAGACGTATCTACTGAAAATCAGGAAATTTGTAAACGTAATCGGCCAAAACATAGACCCCCTTTTTCCATGCAATTTCCATATCAACAATTTTTTGTATCATTAATAGTTACATAATAACGAAATTATAACACTTAAGCCGAGACACCCTGTATGTGCTAAATTGATCATTGGACTTATGTCTTACGATGCAGCTTGTGTGATATAAAAATAAGAAGCTGTGAGATATTTTCATAGAGTCTAAAAGTGACTTGCTACAATTTCAACTTGATTTCGTAAAATGTCAAAACAAGAGAAGAATGCATCCAACGTCGTCGTTACGGAGGTCCAGCAGTTTCGGCGCGCTTAACGAGGTATACATCCTGGACGTTATACGACGAATATTTAATACGGCGTGCCGTTCGTAACGTGGAGCGTCGGGATGCTCGGACGGCGCCTAATATTTGTGTAGAAACGGGTAAGCCCGTAAGCTTAATTGGAACCGGCCGAGTGTGCCAGCCCTTTTTACGAAAATCCCAACTTCGCCATATCGTATTCCCAGGGGTTCCCTTAACGAATTTATGCACAGCTTCTAACTCAGATCCTATGTATCAAATATAGGAATCCTTGAAGGTGTTGTACTTAGAACTCGATACTTCATGGTTCAATTGAAAACAGAAACTCGATTAACAAAACAATTAAAATTAATTTAATCTCTAAATGTAGAGCGTTAGGAAAGTAATTTGTTTGTCACAGAAATAGATTCTAAGAAGAAACTTGAAGAAAACATCACTGAGACGAGAAGTCAGTCAATTTGGACCCCGTAAAACCGTGAATTTTGTCCGCTACAGGGATTCCGGTTGTTTGACTGACTTATTAGAAGTAATTTTGGGAATCGTCGCGTAATTCCATCTATATCCATTTGTTTATTTGCATCGTTTCAAACGCGATGAGTGATTGTTAGGAATTGCATAGAACGACGGAGGATAAAGGCACGTGGGAGAGGTCACGGGAAACGTGATTTAATTTGTAAAGGGAAATTGGATCGGTCGATCGTGTTGCGGGATCGGATCTCGAAATCTGGATCCCTCGTTTGCTGGCCAACTGGTCTAATTGAACCGTCCAGTTCGTCGACAAAATTCTTCTCTGTTCAGTGTGATATTCGAAAATAACGATCGGCGAAGTGTACCTTCGATTGGGTTCAAAACGGAGCACGATGAAACACTTCGATTGATTCTATTAATTGGCAGCTCGTAACATTATATATCCTCTTTGTCTCTGTTTCATTCGATTTTAAATTGTAATAAATTATAGATTTGAATCTCCGTGATAATCGTTTAACTGGAATAACTCGTTGGCCATCGGAGCGAGGATTATAATAAAACTTGTGCAGCATACAATTATTTAATTTTTAATGTGAAGTTTTAATTTGCTGCCTCGTGTTGGAGTAGAATTCCGATAATCCGGCATAATTACCGAATTATCGGACTACATATCTCTGTAATGGATTAATGTTGTGTATCGGCCCTATATGGAGACGCACCTTAAAGCGCATGGGGGGCGCACCACCTGGGATGATTTTTTAGTAAACAGTTCGATTACCGTGTGTCATGGCGTCGATTGAACTCAAACATTATACGCAGTCATTACTTTATTAGCATTAGAGATGTAATCAACTATATTATTTTTTTTTATAATAAATGTCTTTAAGACATAACAGTTAAAAAGGAGGAAAATAATTTTAAATATCACTGTACTTTTTTCAAATTTATTTTCATAGGTATACAGTGGTGGTTTCCAAAGAAATAAAAGTGTTTCACGAAGATGATGTCGAGGTGAATGCGAAAAATGAAAGAAGGTGGTTCGACGATCATTGTGATTTCTGGAACGGTGTAATAACGTTAGCAAACGCACAGACGAATCACGGACAACCACTGTTTGCCTTTGTCGACCAGGCGTGACGTTGAATCCATCGTTGATCGACGATTATCGTCGGCGACGTGCGTCGATCCACAATCGCAGTTCACGAACCCTAGCATTAGCGTACTATTCAACGCTATCCGTGCGAACCTCAACCAATCTGAATCTCCTCTGCCAAACACTGTTCAATGAAGGTATTTAAAGATATATTCAGTAATGGAAAACTGGGATCGTTTCTAGAACCCCTTTGTTTTTTATCTTCAATCCAATTCAATTATATTTGTATCTGCACCCTTCAAATTTACGAAACTGTTGCATCAGCCAAAAGGACCCTCAGATGATTAATATACAGTGGGTGATCGAATTATTAGAGACGCTCGCATAAATTGACGATTTTATATAGAAACGATTAATTATTTAAATGAAAAGCTAGTTAAACAAAGTTTTTGTTATTTTTTTTTTTGTGATGCTTGTAAAGTTATGATACACAGTTGAAAAAGTGAAAGTTGTTGGGCTTGGAAATTTTCGGGACCTCAACCCCATCGATGATTTGTAGGAACATTTATTATTAATAATGTAACGTTTGATAGAAGTATGGGCCAGAAATAATGCAATCAAAATGAATTGCTTAAAATGCATCGAAAGTATGCCGAAAATAATTGAGGCAGTAATTCGAGCAAAAGGCGGCGTTAGAAAATACTAACATACAAATGTAAATATAATCTTTTAAATGTATTTATTTATTTTTATAAGTATCTTTTTGTATATTATCAGCGGAGGATTATTGATTAAAAGTTATTCGATGTAAAAACCTTAAAATTCTGGCTCTATTTCTACACAAATACGAGAAACCTATTTTTCATACCGTGGATCTAATAATTTGATCACCCACTGTACATTATCAATGATGTCAATATTTATTCACAGACTGTATTTATCTCATACATTCAATATTTATTGACAATACATTCAATTTCGAATTGATATGGTGGTTCTAAATAATGACAATACGTCAATCTATTCCTTCATACATTCAACAATATTGACCATACTGAAATATTGATAATATATATTGTTTGTCCGAGGGTCCCTTAAGGGCATAATATCAGAACGCGTTAGAACATTTGGAAAAATGTATCAGAAAGTGTCACCTGAAAATGTATCCTTAGATTCGTATTACAGGTTGACTGCTCCTCTCGTGCCTCATTCGCTCTCGTTACTTTCCCCCCACCGCACCCTCACCGCCCCCACCCTACACTACAGCAGGTAGTGCCTACCCCCCTCCATCGAAATCGATGCTACTCGCGGATCGTAGGTTCAGTCTGCGACTGGCCACCGCGTGCGTAACATCGTTCCTTCCGTATCGTTTTGTTTTTGCCTGTGGCTCGACCCGACCACCTTGCTCACCCTTTCGTGCGCCCTTTCACCCGTGCATTCGTCATCCAATCGCGAACGTTTAACGTGCTTTCAACGATTTAAAAAAAAAAAAAAAATAAAGAACTCGTCGCGATTTAAAATTTGACGATACAGGATCACGTGTGACGACGCGCGAGTTCCTTGGAACTAGTACGAACAAGCTCAGTGAAAAGGAAACGGGGATGAAGAAGAGCTTGAAGACGAAGAGGATGTTGCTTCGACCGTCGTTTCTTCGATCCGAGCTTGGAGAACGATCCTGAGGCGAGCGGATGTGCAAAGAGACGCCATCGTCGAGGATAACAACCGACCCGAGGCTCTCCTTCTGCGACTTTCCTGATTCGGTAAGTGGAAAAGTTTATAATTTTCTTTTTTAATTATACGTTATTCGACATTGGAGCGAGGAAGCTTCCGCGCTTTTTAACCCTTCTGCGAGGAAGCTGCTACCATCTTTATAGCTGTAATATTTCATATTATTAATGTGACAAACTGTGTTATGTATGAAACAATCAAACCATTATTGGACATTTATTTCTGGGAGGTGGTCTTGCTTTTCTAGCTTCACTAAACATGTCAATTTATAATTAACATGTCAATTTTATAATTAACTAATCAAATGTCTAGGTTTATAATTTTGCATAATAAGAACTTTATCATATGCGTTTTAAATTGAATTTCAGTTTAAATATTTATTTTTATTGAAATAAAATTTTACGAGGAGGGGCCAGGTCTGCCCTCGCCCCTACCTAGTTCACCAGTTGGTACCACCGATTACGAAATAAACATACAGGATTAAATCTTGTGTATGGACATAATATTGGCATTAGACGGTATCCAAAGACGATATATCGGCAAAAGGTCCTTGACGGGGTCGTAATTAACGCGCGACATATGGGATAAAACGTTTGCGCGTTTGCCTCTGTGAAATGAAATGATATCCAGTTTATTCTGACTGGTTTATTGTGAAATATCTCGTTGATCGGACAGCTCGCGTACACGTTCGAAACTAACGTTGAAGTTCCCTGTTATTTCGGCCAGGTTCATCGCGGACCGACATTCGTTCTGTCGTTTATTTATTTGCGCCTCGAAATATTTGCGCAGGTAAAATGTTGATATTTCAGTGGAAAGCGAATAAACTACCAATATGCGAGGCTTTCTGGTGAAAGGTGAAAATCATCGATCGAAATGAAGTTAATGTTGCATTATGTCAACGCCATCGCCATTTGTCGCCTAAATTTTGTAGGAACTTCGTGCAAACCTAGCGTGGAAATTTCACTCGTTCGGTGTAGCCAAACTGAAACTGGAAAGTTCGTTGTTTCAACAGCGTGAAGCTCGACGACGTTCACGGCACCGAAACGCGGGAAAGCTCTGACGGGTCTCAGACGTCCGTACATTTTAATTTAACTTTATTGAATATAATCTCAACGACTCTGTCACGAATTCTCTACAGAAATCCGCGATTTCAAAATCAGGGCGTTTTATAGGCTAAAACTTTAGATATACCATCTTTAGATACACTGCCAGTAGTATAACCAGTGATTAGTCAGAAATAACATAGGATATGTGAAAAAGGTCTAATATTCAAGGTTTAATATTGAACATTTTTATTTTGAAAATTTAAATCAGCATACAAATATCCAGAGTAGAAATTCAAAAAGGTGGCCAGGTCCATAGTTCACTGTAAGTAGTATAACCAGTGATGTGTCAGACATGTTTTAAGATGCGTACAAGAGTTCTAATACTCAAGCATTAATACTGAACATTTTTATTTTAAAAACTCAAAAACATGTCCACACAGTAGAGATTCGAAAGAGTGGCCAGGTTCATAGTTCACTATAAGTAGTATAACTAGTGATTGGTCAGCCATAATACCACTTATGTATAAAACTGTTATGTTCTATATTTTGCTTTTCAAAATATTATTATTTACTATTATTTCTACTTTTTACTTAGAATTCACTTCATAAACAAATATAATTTTTGCACACACCTAATAAAATAAGGACGATCCCTTATATTATGACAAAAAATGTCATCTGCTCTTTCTCTATGCCATGTCTCCACGTTTCTTCAAGCTTTCCTCGATCGTCAATATTGTCGATACGGTGACACGTTCGACGACTATCATACACGAGGAGAAGGAAGTTGGTTAATTAATTGCTTTGGAAATATAATCCTTGTCGGGTGTAACTAATCAGGTAGAAACTCGGTCGGACGTTGACGGGCATGTTTGCTGCACCTATCACGTACGAAGATGGAAATGTAATTTGCTGGGATAGAGTTAGCCTCGTTGAATGCCGTGGCCAAGCTTCGCCGCCTATTCTAACCATCGACCCCCCCAATCTCTTCGTGGCACACCACCACCCCATTGATCGCCACTACGGATTTTGCATGTAAGGATCCAGCCACGATACACGGCCGAGGGTTCAGGCCTCGACTTTGCGTGGTGAAACGTTTCTGGGAGCGATATTTCGTGGCGTTTACGATGCGATAACTCGTTCTTTCTTCGAAGAAATTCGCGACGCTCTGTTTCGGTCTGCGTGAAAAGAGTTTACAGGTGCAAAAGAAATATCCGTGTTCGTGCGGTGATCCATGCAGATAGCGATTCATTTATTAAGATTGATAGACATGGTGGTTTTTTCAAATAAATCCTGCTAATCTTGAAGATAATTCTGTCGCTATACTGAAAATGGTTTACTTAACAGATTATCGTGACTTTGATTAATTTTGACGTATTTTAATTTCAACCCTAAGAAACGTACATATGTATAATTATCGTCGACTCCGAGGTACGATCGGATATAGCAAAGAACAGATCGGTAGGCGAGTGGAAAAAATGATCGCATTTCCATCGAAAATGATCGGAGGTCGCACAGAACCAATGTAGGACGACGACTCTCGGGCATTACATGAAAACGGTTTCAATGTCGAACGCGTCGACGCGAATTCGCTGGGCGGTTAAGCTTTCCCGTTCGCGATTAAAAGCTCGAAGCTTCGTACGCGGTCATCCATTTGCATATAGGAAGCTTCGTATAAATTCTGCGGTTACAACCGCGTCAGAAGCAATAACGCAAACGCTAGGCGATTGCACGTTCACGCGTGTGTTGTTACGAAACGATCGGACGTTTCAGGTAAACGATTAATCATTCACGTCTGTACTTCGTTCGCGTACGATCTTTTTTTACCCGAGTTTCGATATTCGATGTTCGTACGACGATCGAACTCTTTTCAGAGTCGAAAAAAATATTGAGGTTCAGTGACTTTGACAGTTTGCTATACGTATTTCGGCCGATAACTTGTCAAAATTTCCATCTTCATCGATACAGAGCAATTCTAAAGCGATACAATATTTAATGTAAAACTTGATAACGATCTTTCAAGACAAACATGGATTGTAACCTTCCCTTTGATCGCGAGTTAGTTGTAGAGAATCAAAATCCTCGCGAATGTTAATGTTTAATATGGCTGGCGAAACCGCGCCGATAAAATCACGCTCAGGAGCACCGGCAAGCGTACACCTAACATTAACGTGCGGTGTACACTATCGTTGCGGCGCGATGATACAAATAGGGGCTGCTTCCGGTCGCGGGTTGGGTTCACGCATCGCTTACTCATTGCCGAACATCCGCTTGGAATGGATGCCGCTTTTGAAAGCCGCGGAATTTACTTTACCTGTGAAAGCGAATTTACCCTTGAGAATTTTCTCGTTCATCGTGTTCCGTATTAACACATTCAAATTTCTAATCGAATAATTTTTATATAATGGTAAAATAGAATCCAAGGGTATATTCTGAAATTTGAAAATAAAGATTAAATAGGGTTCTGGAATTAATTTCTATTAAAAAATCATTCTTTAAATTTCACTAAATTCGTACGCACATGGGTCAGTAAATGGAAATTGTTTCCATCGAACAATTACCCGACTTCATTGGTTATAGTTCACACTGAACCATACTGGTTGGAACCATCGCCTGCAAAGGGTTAAAGCTTCCCTTTCGAGAGTGTACAAACGGTGGTAACAAGGTTTGACTTGATGCACGGACGCGTGGCAAGTAACGCTCGCAGCTCGCATTCGACCATGATACACGCGTGCGAATTCGTGGAATTTAATGATGGTATCGCGTGATGGAATGCACGAGCTTTCGACCAGTTGTAGAGAGGCTAGAGAAATGACGAGGATGAAATGGTGGTCAGGTTTCAATTAAACTTTATGACCAAGGATAGTCGGGCGAAGTGTTTTAATTAGATGAAGTACAACTGAAGCAGGTAGATCATAATTCTTTCAGAATATTAGTATCAACGGTTGAAGCTTTTTTATATTCTGCTCTCAAAATCAAGGAATTCTACATATCCGTTCAAATATTTGTCAATTTTATTGGTGTTTATTTACTTATGGGCGTATGGAAAAATAATTATTTAAAAAAAAAAGCAAAATTGGTTTACTGAAGATTTTCGTGTTCTACCCGTGTGTAATATTGACACACGTTGGTCATACGTAAATAAATGTGATTAATTGTAACGTCGCGAATCCTCCTCGTTCGTCCCAGTTCTCGCGCGAAACATCGTGCTTTTATAAATCATCCCCCTCTCTTTCTCACACCAGCGTGTCTGATCGCGTGATTTATGGATCAATTGTTCCGTAGTCCATAGAAACGAGAGCATCGTTTGAACGGCGACGATTTCGCGCGAAAGGTGAACCACCCTCAATGAATTTCAGGTTGTTTTGTGCGGTATCGTTGATGATGGAAGTCTACGATATAACCCTCTATTTAGAAGTTAAAGAAACATTATGAGGAACGTTTAAATTTTCATAGGAATCCATCAGCCATTAATTTACCTCACTGAAATTATGGATAATAGATACGAGATATCGTGAAAATAATAGAAAATATTTGTTAAAAATAAAAATACTGTCTAATGATATTTTCAGTAATTTTGATCCCGGTGGTCAAAGTGTTAAATATGTATCGTGGTGTCTGAATAGCAACGCGAGCTACTGCATGAAACAATTTGCTCTTTCTTTCAACGATTTTCTATCATTTTTTCCGCTTTGTACTTGCACGTACAATTGCGAAAAAACGGTCGATTAATCATGGTTTTTTAGCTGGTCGCGCATCAGACACAATGGACTGTGGAGAAACTTTCTCTCGACATTGTTCGAATGGTGCAGGTATTAATGTACACGTGAATATATAGCATTATGTGTGTCTATACAAATGGAGGAGCATTTTCGTTCATGATTATTTGCTCGAGCACCGTCGCGAGTAATTAATACCAGCCTCATATGTAATTAGTCATTGAAAAACAATGTTCAAGGGAACAATGACATCGTCGCGTTTCTCCG